GAGAAGATTATGGGGAGAAGAGAAGATTATGGGGGGAGAAGAAGAGAAGATTACGGGGGAGAAGAAGCGATTACAGGGGGGAGGGGAGAAGATTACGGGGGGAGGGGAGAAGAAGACAAGATTACAGGGGGGAGAAGAAGCGGAGAACACAGGGAGGGGGGGAATAAGAGGAAAACACGGGGGAGAAGAAGAGGAGAACACGAGGGGTGGGAGATGAGAAAGTAGGGGAGGGAGAGACCACTAAAGGAGGGAGGGGGCAGTGGAGAGACCGCTAAGGGAGGGGGGTTGAGGATAGACCACTAGGGGAGGGTGGGGGGAGAGGAGAGACCACTAATGGAAAGTCGGGGAGAAAAGGAGACCACTAAGGGAGGTGGGGGGGAGAGGAGAGACCACTAAGGGGCAGGGGAGATCTCTAAGAAATGGAAGGGAGAGCTCTATAGGACAGGGAGACAGGGAGCTCTTTCACACCACACGCACACACACACTATGCATCCCTATACACACAGAAACACAACATGCTTCCCTTACAGAGAAACACACAATGCAACCCTTACACATAAAGACAATGCATCCTTTGCACATATACACAGAACACACACAATGCATCCCTTACACACACATGCAAACACACACTGTTTCTCTTACACACACACACAGAAACACAATGCATCTCTTACACACACTCAACACACCCCTTACAGACACACACACTGCATCCCTTACATACACAGAAACACACTTTGCATCCCTTATGCATACAAACACAGATTCACACAATGCATCCCTTACACACAACAAGAAACACACAATACATCCCTTATACACAAACACTCACTGCTTTCTATCCCTTACACAAACAACACTGCATCACCTACACAAACTGGTATCCCTATACACTACATTCCGTAAGCACACACATTAGATCCTCTACAGTAACACATAACACATCCCCTATACACTACTACTCCCTGTGAGTTCATGGGTGGAACATGTAGGTGGACTTATGGGTGGGCTTTATGGGCATACTCACCGTCAGGCCCTGGGGCCCAGACCTTGAGCTATGTAAGAGGCCCCCAAAAATGGAGCTGCTTCCCGTTCTCCCAGAACATTGAATTTTGTGACCACAGTTGCAAACAGCCTCCAGAGATCCTGTTCTACACCAGACCAGTGGAGCCAGACTGCAGCCAGAGCCCATCACCATCCTCATCTGATTGTAAGTAGGCAATCTAGTATATTATTAGTGACACTAATCTCTAATTTACCTCACATTAAATGGACACTATAGTCCCCAGAACCACTGCAGCTTAATAAAGTTGTTCTGGTGTCTATAGTTTGTCCCTGCAGGCTTTTTAATGTAAACACACACTGTGTGCAGCACTGGCATTAGTTCATATGGGTGGGGCATTGTGATGTTCCGGGGTGGGGGGGGCGGCAAATCTTTCTTTTGCCTAGGGCGGCAAAAAATCCTTGCACCGGCCCTGATTGTGTGTGTGTGTGTGTCTATCTGCCTGTAACTGTATGTGTGACTGCCTGTCTGTAACTTTGTGTGTGTTGTTGTATGTGTGTGACTGCCTTCCAGCACCTGTGTATGTGTGTGACTGCCTGTACCTTTATGTTTGACTATATACCTGCAACTGTGAGTTTGACTATGTGCCTGGGACTGTGTGCATGTTGCTGTATATGACAATGTATATGTATAAATCTGTGCATCTGACTGTGGGACTGTGTGCATGTGACTTTGCAAAAATATACACATGGGCATACATGCATATTTGTATCTGAATGAAATACTCATCACACACAGTACACAACCAATAAACCCATTACAAATATCAAACACACACTTTACATCATACTATAGTGATATGCAATATAGTGGAGCTCTGGCATACAAAACGCACATTGCTCTGTGTTTTATAGTTGGGGAGCTCTGTGATACACTAATAGGCATATTACTGGTAGTTGCATTGTTGTGGAGCTCTGTGACATACTCTAACATTACATATTACTGGGAGTTTTATTGTTGTGGAGTTCTGTGATAAACAGGTACACACCACCTAGTACTGTGAGGGTTTTTTGTTGTTGTGGAGTTCAGTGATAATGTTTTTTATTCCAAAGAGGTCAAGGTAAATAAGGAAAATCCAGAGCTCCAAAGCATAACAACTCGCAGTATTATGTGACATATTTAGTCTGCCCCTCTGTAATGCTGAATAGGCAGTATGGCACCTCTGGCCTGCACTTCTGTTGGCTGAAGACCATTAGTAGATGTCTTCCTAGCTCAGGCCATTTAGAGCATTGCTGCGGATTACCACAGGAAAGCTCTGAAACTGCAAGTGCGAGCTCGAGAGACAGTTACTCATGGTCTGCACCCGATGGAGGGGCAGACCAGATTCCCAGTACAGTGGAACACCCCGATCAGCATGCCCCTCTCCCAACAAGGTAACAGGGAAGGAAGAATTAATATTTGTTTTGAAATCATTATTCATTTAATAATTCCCCTATACACATACACACACTATACATGGATGAAGGGGGATGACTGGGTGAAAGGCCTAAAAGCCTAAGGCTGGTCCTGACTACAACTGACTGTAATATCATGCATGTGTGAGAGAACAGCAATGACATCCTTCATAGACATAGCAATTTAAAAACCAGTCAAGAGATATACAGAGACAAAGTAGGGACTCATTTTCACTACCACCCCATCCCTTGAAATATGATTATTTCGTAGAGATAGAATCTTTATGAAATACACTTTTTGACTGTGTTGGAATTATACTATATTCAAACCCAGTCAAGAGATATACAGAGACAAAGTAGGGACAGCTTTGTCTCTGTTTATCTCCTGAGATTTTTGTGAAACTCCAACACAGTCAAAATGAGTATTTTATATTGATTCTATCTTTGTGAAATAATCATTATTCAGGGGTGGTTGACAGTTCAGCTGTAGAATTAGCTAAACTAAAATTTAATAGAAAGAATAGAAAAAGTACCTTTTCAACAACATTCAAAACCTGAGAAGTTCCAGGATCCAATGTGGATTCCGAGTGCATTGTACCTAAAATTGGAAACACATTTCTTTAAAATAAGTATAAAATATTACATAGAAATTACAACCCAGTTAAGAGAAGTACAGTAGGGACCCCAGCCACTAAGAGACAAAGTAGGGACCCCATCCAGCATCCCACCAGCAGCAATTCAACATCAGTGGTCTTTGCAAATTTGATGAAGTACACATACGGTAACAGTGCTGCTTTAATACATGTCATTAGTATTAGTATTATGGAAGGTGTTAGAGTACCTGTTACTTTATCTCTTCAATCCACGAGATCAACGTTGGAAGCCATAAGAAATCCAATTGAAAGAACAGATAACGAGAAAAAAATACACAAATTAAACACAGTGAATTATGTGGCTTCCACAAGATACTCTCAGACATATATACACACAGAAATATCATGAGAGATACACACAGGTGACACACAGACATGTTTACATTGACACATACTGACATACATGCAAAGATTCACGCACACACAGATCCATACACTGACACACACACACACTGACAGACATGCAGAGATCCATACACTGACACACACACGTACACACACTGACAGACATGCAGAGATCCATACACTGACACACACACACTGACAGACATGCAGAGATCCATACACTGACACACACACGCACACACACTGACAGACATGCAGAGATCCATACACTGACACCAAGACACATATCAAAATACTCTGGTAAAATCACTTACTGTAAGTTGAAGTAGAAACATGATTGCCCTCCGAATGTGTGCCACCACAGTACCTCTTGCAGAAATCAGTCTGTGGCGGAGCTCTTGTACTTTGACTGGGTACCTCCACCCAGCTTGCTTTCTAGTCGCTTGTTGGGACCCTGTAGCAGTTCAAACCTAGTCACTGAGGCTTGACTGGGGTCTCTCTGGAGCTTTTCCACCTGACCAGGTTGCAGGTCTCCTAATAGGCAGGTATCGTCCCTTTTGCCTAATCCACTGCAGCCCTTCTTCCAGGCAGAAGTTGTACACTCTGCCTATTTTTCTGTAGCCCTTCTTCCAGGAAAGTATCGTCCCCTCTGCCTATTCATCTGCAGCTTTCCTTTCAGGCAGGTATGCACCTCTGCCTGCAATGTTATAGCTCCCGTCTTTTATAAAGACACTTGCAGCTCTCAGGCCTAACTCCCTTTGCCGCCAGACTAGAGGGATCGTGCAGCCAGGCAATGGGTACAACAACTCTTTTACTGTGATCCCTAAAAATCCACACAGGTTACACAGTTCCAAAAGGAACTAACATACACATCTTTATTTTTTTCTCAGGACTTGGCCATAGGGTTATTACATGTAACTTGTGGTGACAACAATAAATATACAAACAATCAAATCACATCAGACAACATAGAGGAATTTATAATAACATAATGGCATATTTATAAAGGGGTGGGGAAGACAATAATTAACACAAAATACATCTCCTGTCTGCAGAATTAGCAATACGCAAATCTACCTGAATATGCAAATTCAGGCTATCTCCGCTCCAGGTGCTGGGATCTGCTGCTGGGGAGGGAGGTTGACACTCTCTGCTCCTGGTAATTCACTTTGTCGATGGTAAGGGGGACCAACTGTCTCCACTCCCGGTAACTCCAACTGCCGCTGGGGAGGGAGGCCAGCACTCTCTGCTCCAGATAACTTGAGTTGCTGATTGGGAGGAAAGCCGAGACTCTTCACTACCAGTAACTCAAGCTGTTGCTAGGGAGGGAGGCTGGATACCTGTACATCCTCTTTTTGGGTTTCCATCCGCTGCTGGGAAGGTAGTGGAGTGACCAGGATCCCCATGCCAGGGGGTTGAGGATGTGGGCCGGCTACTCAGCATCCCTTTAAATCAGGTGTGGAGAATATGGTTCTCTCAATTGCTAGCTGTCCAACATCCTCAGATGTAAACCTGTAGACCTGCTGCAGTACAGAGTCAAATAATTGCTTGTAATCCAGTTCAAGCTCCCAATCCATGGTGGCCAGATGGGTCAAATCGGGTTCCAGGTCAGTTGCTTATGAGAGATCCAGTGTTCCCTATTTTCTCAAATGCCATAGAGTCGGAAATTCTCAGGACTTCCGAATTCAACTTTATCCTGAAAGGCTTCCCACAATAGGCCAGGGCTTTCATATCCCTCACCCTCTGAAGGTACATCATCCTCTAGCACCCTTAGCTAGTACTCCTGCTCAGCTAGTACTTTGGCTCTCAGCTATTTGCTAGTACTCCAGCTCGGCTAGTACTTCAGCTCTTGGCTAGTACTCCGGCTCTTGGATAGGACTCCTGCCCCTGGCAAGAAATCTAGCTCTTGTAAGGTACTTCTGCTTTTGGCTAGTACTCTAGCTAGGCTGGTACTTTCACTCTTGTCTAGTACCCCAACTTCTGCTAGGCTAGTAGTCCAGCTTGGCTAGTACTTTTGTTTTAGGTTCGTGTCACGTATTCATTCGCTTATAAAAATGTGGTTAATGACATTTACTGTCCACACAGGAAAAGTTGTGCCGAGCAGCAACCTAATCCACAGAAGGGTTAATGCTGAGCAGCAATTATGCAAATGGGAACCTGGTAACTGACTTTGGGGTCAAAGGCCGGTTACGGCCTATCAGATCTAGAGGAGGGGTAGTTAGGCCCAGTTCTCATCCTGCTCAGTGCCCTGTCGTGGTTTCCCTTGTGGTTGTTCGAGAGCGCGTTATTTATTCTGGTATTATGGTTATTTGACTTTGGCATTGTTTTTGACTTTCCTGTTTTCTGGCATCCCTGACTCCTGGCTTTTCCTTATCGTTGTGTCTCTTTCTGTATGCCTTGACCTCGGCTATTCCTGACAATTCTTTGGTACGTTAGTCCAGCCATTCTAAGGTCCGGTATACGTTACCTATCAGTCTTCTGTGTTACACAATTCTACGTGCTGGATCATACTGTAATCCTGACAGCTAGTATTCCAGTTCTTGGGTAAGACTTCTGATCTTAGCTAGTACTGAAGATCAGCTGGTATTCCGGCTTTGCCTACTACTCTAGCTGAGCTAGTACTTTGGCTCTTGGCTAGTACTGCAGCTATCAGGTAGTACTTAGGCTCTTGGCTAGTACTCCATCTATTAGGTAGTACGGCTCTTGGCAAATACAGCAGCTCTCGGATAGTATTACACCTCTCATGTAATACTCCTGTTCTTGGCTAGTATTCTACATCTCGGGTAGTACTCTGGCTCTTGGCTATTACTCCAACTATGGTAGTACTTCTGCTCTTAGCTAATACTCCAGTTCAGGTAGTACTTTGGCTCTTGGCTAGTACTCCAGTTCAGCTCTTACTTTGGCTCTTGGCTACTACTCCTACTCAGCTAGTACTCCTGCTCTGTAGTAGTATTCTGGCTCGGCTAGTACTTCAGCCCTCGGGTAGTACCCGGGTCTTGGCTAGAACTCCAGCTTGGCTAGTTCTTTGGTAGTTCTCCAGCTCGACTGGTACTACAGCTTTAGGCTGGTACTTCAGCTCTTGGCTAGTACTTTTTCTCTTGGATAGTACTCCTGCTAGGCTATTATTCCAGTTTGGCTAGTATCCCAGCTCTCGGATAGTACTCCACCTCTTGGGCACTACTCCTGTTTTTAGCTAGTACTCAAGCTCGGTTGGTACTCCAGCTCGGCTAGTATTTTAGCTCTTGACTATTACTCCAGCTCTTGGGTAGTACTCTCGCTCTTGGTTAGTACTCAAGCTCGTTTAGTATTTCAACTAAGCTAGTACTTCTGTTCATGGATAGTATTATGGTTCTTTGCTACTACTCCTGCTCAGCTAGTGCTCCTGCTCTCTCTAGTATTCCGGCTAGGTATCAGAACTTACCTGTCAGATTATTTTAAGCTCTTCAACACAACAAATCTCCGCCCCCTTCTCTGACGTGGCTTTTTCACGACTTATAGAGAAGTTGTGCCAGAATTGAAATTGCTTAGTTAATGTTTTAGGATACCTCCGTGTTTCTTGTGCTCCTCTTCGTTGCTTCATCGTGTACCGAACTACTGGACTGTATAAAGGGATTTCCTGTCATCTCCAATCCCTGATCTCGGACTGTATATCGTTATACCTGCTATTTCAAAAACCTAAAGACCCGGACTGATCTAGGTTATACCGCCTTCTTGATTACAGCTAACTGGCTTGTGGAAGTCTACTCCCATCAAACCTTAAGTATTCTTGTTCTCCATATCTGGGGATTGAATTGTTATTATTTTGGACTGTATCCTGCTTTCTATCTATCGCCTGCTACAGCATTGTTGCTATTAATCTGCTACTATTGCTTTTACTTCATCTATTGCTTTCATTGCTGAGGAATCCTTAAAGCTACAGTACTTGCTTAAAGTTACAGGACTTTTTCCAAACCTTTGGATCTATCCTAATTGAAATAAATAAGTTATCCATTCTGCAGTTGTGTTCCTCATCTAGTCAACTTGTAGCATAACACTAGGCTAGTACTCTGGCTCTTGGCTAGTATTCCAGCTCTCGGTTAGTAATCCAGCTAGCTCTTGGGTAGTACAAAAGTTCAGATAATACTTCAGCTCTTGGCTAGTATGCCTGCTTGGCTAGGATTTCAGCTCTCGGCTAGTATTCTTGCTCGGTCAGTACTTTGCCTCTTGGCCAGTACTCCAGCTCAGCTAGTACTTTGGCTCTTGGATAGTACTCCGGCTTGAAAAGTACTTTGGGTCTTGGCTAGTACTTTGGCTCTCGGCTAGTACTTCATCTCGAGTAGAACTACAGCTCTTGGCTAGGACTCCAACTCAAGAAGCACTATGGCTTTTGGCTAGAACTCCTGCTTGGCTAGTACTTTTGCTCTTGGCTAGTACTTCTCCTTTTGGCTAGTACCTTGGCTCTTGGTTAGTGCTCTGGTTCTTGACTAGTAGTCCAGCTCGAATAGTACTTCGGGTTTTGGCTAGAACTCTTGCTTGATTAGTACTTTGACTCTTGTCTAGAAGTCTAAGTCTTGGTTAGAACTTCGGCTCTTGGCTTGGCTAGTACTTTGGCTCTTGGCTAGTACTTTAGCTCGCTGGTACTCAGGTTCATGGCTAGTACTTCAGTTCTGGCTAGTACGCCTGCTTAGCTAGTACCTCAGCTCTCGGCTATTACTCTTGCTTAGCTAGTACTTTGGCTCTGGCTTAGTACTCTAGCTCGGCCAGTACTTCAGGCCTTAGCTAGAACTCCTGCTAGCTAGTACTTTTGGTCTTGGCTAGTACTTTGGCTCTTGGCTAGTACTTTTGCTTGGCTAGTACTTTGGCTGTTGGCTAGTACTCCAGCTTGGTTAGTACCCCGGTGCTTGGCTAGTACTACATCTTGAGTAGTACTTCATCTTTTAGCTATTACTCTTGCTTGCTTTTGCTCTTGGCTAGTACTCTGGCTCTTGACTAGTACTTAAGCTTGAGTAGTACTTCAGCTCTTGGCTAGTACTTTGGTTCTTGACTAGTAATTTTGCTCGGCTAGTACTCCAATTTGAGTAGTATGTTCTTTAGTTAGTACTTCTGCTCTTTGCTAGCCCTTTGGCTTTTGGCTAGTACAACTGCTCGGCTAGTACTTCAGCTCTTGGCTAGTACATTGGCTCTTGGCTAGTACTCTCAGCTAGTACTTATGCTCTTAGCTTGTGCTTTTGCTCTTGGCTAGTACTTTAGCTTGGCTAGTACCTCGGCTCATGGGTAGTACCTTTGCTCTTGGCTAGTACTCTGGCCCTTTGCTAGTACTTTGGCTCATGGCTTGTACTTTTGCTTTAGGGTAGTACTCTGGTTCTTGGCTAGTACTCCAATTTGAGTACTTTTGCTCTTGACTAGTACTTTGGCTCTTGGCTAGTACTTTGGACATTGGCTAGCACTCAGGCTCTGGGCTAGTACTTCAGGCTCATGGGTAGTACTTTTACTCTTAGCTAGCACTTTGGCCCTTGGCTAGTACTCCAGCTCGGCTAGTACTTCAGCTCTTGGCTTTTACGTTGGCTCTTGGCTAGTACTCTCAGCTAGTACTCTTATGTTCCTGGCTTGTGCTTTTGCTCTTGACTAGTACTTTAGCTTGGCTAGTACCTCGGCTCATGGGTAGTACGTTTGCTCTTGGCTAGTACTCTGGCTCTTGGCTAGTACTTTGGCTCATGGCTTGTACTTTTGCTCTTGGCTAATACTCCAGCTCGGCTAGTACTACGGCGCTCGGCTTGTACTTTTGCTCTTGACTAGTACCTTAGCTTGGCTAGTACTCCAATTTGAGTAGTACGTTTGCCCTTGGCTAGTATTTCGGCTCTTCGCTTGTACTTTTGCTCTTGGCTAGTACGTTGGCTCTTTGCTAGTACTCCAGCTCGACTAGTACTACGGTGCTGGGCTTGTACTTTTGCTCTTGACTAGTACCTTAGCTTGGCTAGTACCCCAATTTGAGTAGTACGTTTGCTCTTGGCTAGTACTTCGTCTCTTGGCTAGTACTTCGGCTCTTGGCTTGTACTTTTGCTCTTGGCTTGTACTTTTGCTCTTGGCTAGCACTTTGACTGTTGGCTAGCACTCTGGTACTTGGCTAGTACTCCAATTTGAGTAGTACTTTTGCTCTTGGCTAGTGCTTTGGTTCTTGACTAGCACTTTAGCTTGGCTACTACCTCCGCTCAAGGCCTGATACTTCATTTCATGGGTAGTACTTTTGCTCTTGGCTAGTACTTTGGCTCTTGGCTTGTATTTTTGCTCTTGGCTAGAACTTTGGCTCTTGGCTAGTACTTTTGCTTGGCTAGTACTTTGGCTGTTGGCTAGTACTCCAGCTTGGTTAGTACCCCGGTGCTTGGCTAGTACTCCATCTTGAGTAGTACTTCATCTTTTAGCTATTACTCTTGCTCTTGGCTAGTACTCTGGCTCTTGACTAGTACTTTTGCTTTTGGCTAGTACTCCAATTTGAGTAGTACTTTTGCTCTTGACTAGTAATTTGGCTCTTGGCTAGTACTTTGGCCCTTGGCTAGCACTCAGGCTCTGGGCATGTACTTCAGTCTCTTGGCTAGTACTTTGGCTCTTGGCTAGTACTTCAGCTCGGCTAGTACCTCCGCTCACGGCCCGATACTTCATCTCATGGGTAGTACTTTTGCTCTTGGCTAGTACTCTGGTTCTTGGTTAGTAGTTTGGCTCATGGCTTGTACTTTTGCTTTTCGCTAGTACTCTGGCCCTTGGCTAGTACTCTGGCTTTTGGCTTGTACTTCAGGCTCATGGGTAGTAGTTTTGCTGGGCTAGTACTTTTGCTCTTTACTAGAACTTTGGTTCTTGGCTAGCACTCAGGCTCTGGGCATGTACTTCAGGCTCATGGGTAGTAGTTTTGCTCTTGGCTAGTATTTTGGCTCTTGGCTATTACTCCAGCTCGGCTAGTACTTTTGCTCTTGGCTAGTACTTTTGTTCTTGACTAGTACCTTAGCTTGGCTAGCACTCCAATTTAAGTAGTACTTTTTTTGGTTAGTACTTTGGTTCTTGGCTAGTACTCCAGCTCGACTAATACTTTGTTTCTGGGCTTGTACTTTTGTTCTTGGCTAGTACGTTGGCTCTTGCTAGTAGTGCAGCTCGGCTAGTACTTCAGCTCTTAGCTTGTACGTTTGCCCTTGGCTACAACTTTGGCTCTTGGCATGTACTTCAGGCTCATGGGTAGTACTTTTGCTCTTGGCTAGTACTTTGGTTCTTGCCTAGTACTCCAGCTCTAGTAGTACTACAGCTCTTGGCTTGTACTTTTGCTCTTGACTAGTGCTTTGGTTCTTGACTAGCACTTTAAGCTTGGCTGCTACCTCCGCTCATGTGTAGTACTTTTGCTCTTGGTTAGTACTTTGGCTCATGGCTTGTACTTTTGCTCTTGGCTAGTACTTTTGCTCTTGGCTAGTACTTTGGCCCTTGGCTAGCACTTTGGCCCTTGGCTAGCACTCAGGCTCTTGGCATGTACTTCGGGCTCATGGGTAGTACATTTGCTTTTGGATAGTACTTTGGCTCTTGGCATGTACTTCA